TTTTCCATCTGAAATGAAACGGTATTTCAATTTATGATAACAACATTGGAAGGTCGCGACAAGTGATGCTGCACATTGACGAATAAAGCTCATTTCCAAACATGCACCGTGCTGGAATCGACTATATGCAGGAAGTACATTAAATGTAAAAACGGGATCATCCTAATTAATCCGCTTAACTAGTTTAGGTAATTAGTCTATGTCGAAAAGGTTCATTTAAAACAACTCAACTTTTAAATAAGAACATTTAAAAGGTTTATTTGAATGGCGGACTCGGCAGGTCTCAGCCTTGCAATTTTCAATTGTGATTTTCGTTGTTGGTGTCGTAGCTGTGAAGTGGATCAATAATTATGGCGATCAAGTGAAATACTCTAGCATAACACTTTTTTTATACTCCAACTACCACGAAGACCTAAGGCCTAAACACCCATTGGGTACCGTGGGTCTATAGGGGGATACAGGGGAACGCCACACGGACTCTGGCGAGGGAACACGTGTGCATGCAACATGCACATATTCTGGCTCCGCCTACGAGATCCGCCGCCTCCGCGTACGACAGTCAGAGACCGTCTACCATCTACGGACAATCACAACATCCATAGCCAAGTGAAAAATTTCTCTTGGAACGGGATTCGAACCCGCACAGCGCACGGCGACTGATCAGGAGACCGAAGAGTCTACTACTGCGGCCACCGATGCATTTATAAAACTATTCACGTTAATAGGTGTTTCCAATCTAGAATTAATCCTGTTGTATTTAAAACAACAGTAATTACTCCTTTTTATAAAAGCGGGACAGAATGGGAAGGTCAATTCATAGACCCATATCAGTGCTATCGGATATAGCCAAAATTTTCGAAAAATTATTACAAAATAGGATATTACAATTTTTTGACAAAAACAAAATTATATGTTCTGGGGAAGATAGGCGAAAGACAAAAAATGGCCCTAGTAAAAGTTTCACTGTTTTTGAGATATTAGTTGTTTTTGTCTTTTAATCCACACACAGGCGATGCCTTCTGAGGTTGTTTCATATTTATTTGCCCGTTTTTTGTATTTTGGCGCATAAATATTATTATTATTATTGTTACTATTATTATTAAAGTCTAGATTGACAGGAGAAGACTCCAGATAGATCACCATACCGTACAGTTTCTCACGGGACGTGTTTGCTTTGAAAACTACCTAAAGCGAGTAGGAAAGAAAGAATACTTTTTGCTTTGACGAGGATGATACTCCTGAGCACCTACTCGAATGCAGTATATGAGTTGACTTCCGTAGACAACTGAAACGAACGCTCGGTGAAAAATCTGACTACTGACAATTTTGCCAAGCCAATATCGTAATTACATCTCAATGGGTAGCATTACTTATACATGGTGTTTGGAGGGTGAGTCGCCAAACGATAATGGCGGATGGCCATTTATAATGCATAATTAATATACATTTTGCCTCAGTTTTAAGGAGAAATAATGATTTGTTCTTTTTTTGCGAAAATCTCCAGTTTTTAAATTTGAGTTTCAATCTTTTTTTCATTTACGGTCGAAACGGCGCAAAGTTGGATTTATGTCTACTGTTGCCTCATTCATATCCAACCAACAGTTGATACAAACAGTTGAAGAACAAGTAACAGTGGAACAACAAACTTCCTTGAATCAATGGAAAAGATGTTAAGTCAACTTTACAATAAGCAGAAAAAAATAACACAAAAGAGTAAGGGGTTTTCAAATGCAATTAAAGACTTCTCTAGTTAACAAACTTTCTAACAGTATGCCACATATAACCTAAATAATTAGATAACACAACAAAAAATAAATTTATTTTCAACGATTCGTGATAGTGGATGCAGTTAAATCATTCCAATTACCTAATTAAACAGGAACACACTTGTGACTCATTCTATCACAGCGACACCTATTGTTCTCTTTTTGCTCAGCTTATTGTAAGTCTCTTTCTCATTTCTCTTCTTGTATTTGAGGAAGTTTGTTGCTCCAGTATTACTTGTTCTTCAACTGTTTGTATCAAATGATGGTTGTATCTCAATGAAGTAATACTAGACTTGAGAATAAAAGCAACTTTGCGCCGTTGCGACCGTAAATAGAAAAAATATTGAAACATAAATCTAAAAACGAGGGACTTTCTCAAAAAAGGAAAATATCATAATTTCTCCTTAAAACTGAGGCAAAATGTAAATTAATTAGGCGTTGTAAATATCCAATAGCCTCAGCCCTCCGCCATTTCCGTTTGGCTACTCACCCTCAAAACACCCTGTATTTTCGGTCACTTCTATTTATTCATTCAAAGCGTGCTCTTAGCGTTTCACAGAAAGCCATACTGAAATCCTTGCTATCTTTACCCTCATATAAAACAGAATTGGATGGCCCAATGCTATCAATATTGGAAATGAATCTTTGAAACGTTATATAGAAACAATGAAGATCACGATTGTTGAGGTAAAAGTACCCAATGTAGTCCACTATATGAAAGATAAGCGTGGAAAGAATGCTATATAAAGTATCTTTGCAATGGTGAAAGCATATTCTGTACTTCTGGATACTGGATTCAACAGCAGTCTATTTTCAAGGTATTGCAGACTAAAATAAAATACAAGATATTTAAATATTATTTTGATCCTACTCATAATGAATAGTTGCAAAGATTAAGACTAGAGATAGGAGTGAATGGACTCCGATCAATATTTGGAGTTCTCGTTTTCGTTGAACATCCAGTGTGGTTTACAGATAGATAAAAAAGTCAAGCCCCAACAAAAAGAAACGACTGTAATGTACAATGACACAGCAGTGCTATCAGCTAGTAATAATAGCAGTCCTTAATAAAGTTCATAGATAATCAGTACAAATACATAGAAGAAAGTATGCTTAACGGACATGTTCAGAATATACATGTTGATTTTAGTTGGTGGCAGTTTGAGCATTGAGACTCTTAGAAAGGCAAAACATGTTAAACATAACGCAAGTCTTATATAGGCAGATATTTCCACAAAAGGTCTAAATTAACCGTCATAGTAGTACATGTTTTGACCAAATGTTTCAGTTCAGGCCGATTTCAATCCATCAGTCCGTTGAAGGTCCAGCCACCGTCTGGAATAAAAACACAATAGGATTCATGTTCTGCCAGTAACACAAAATATGTTGGACCAATTCGTTGAGTTGAGGACTGAGAAGTTCTGCTACCCCGCCAGCTCCACCGCTCTTTAACAAGTTAGGGGTGCCTTATGAAAGTTTGCATTTTGCCCATTTTTGCAGCAAAAGGTATATGAGTTGCCAAATAATTACTTTAAGCGGTCCTCCCGGTATTTTTGTGCCTAGCAGATACTGACCCAGTGTTTATCTCCACTTTTTCTCAAAGTTTTTGTATTTAATTATATTTGAGGTATATTTGCATGTCTACTCAGACTATAGATTATCTTAAAGACACAGAGCTTCGTGATTATTTATACCTTTAATTGTGATATGTTTCTCCTTTTATTTCAAAATCATCTTTAGGATGTCAAATCAGCTACCCAATGGATTAAGTATTCGCCAAGTTTAAATGGGTTACAAGGTATGTTACATTATCTGTATCTTCAATTAATAATTATGAATCAGGCGTAATCAGGACGATAAAAAAAAATAGGTACGTAACACTGGGGAAACATTTCGCTTAATTAGATAATGTACAAGTATAATTCAGTGACTATCTCACAATTGTATATAGTTTCACTTACCTAAATCTCAGTTACATTGTCAATATTGTCAGATCCTGCTGCAGTAAAATGTTGTGTCGAGATGATCATTTGATTTTAATTTCACTAAAGTGCTGCTATCTCCTGAATGTTCATATTTTTAGCATGTAATTTTTCTACCGCGAACATTCAGATAAAATTTTATAATGACTGAGCGACAAACTCGTAATTCGTTTGAACTAATTATGTGATATTTCATATTATACACGTGGCCAGTCTACTTCCTGATTATACGTGCTTTAGATTGTTCTTTAGGTGAGCTTGTCTACACTTTGAGACTTTTAAGTCTTGAGATGTGCTAACCTTTCCACGTAAAAGTTTATCGCCGCAAACTTGTGAAATGTGAAGAATATAATCCATCAGTTTAATACACTTTTCACCTCTAGAAAAGATAATTATACTCTGTTTTCGTTTATTGTCCTACCAAAAGACCTAGACGGATGATTACTAGTAAGTTGTACACGATTAGCCCTTTCTTGGTATAAAGGTTGATTCTCACTATACATTCCGTTTTCATTCCATATAAGTTTCGTCAACGGATAATGTGCATACACACGCAATAGCTTGCCTTACGCGAAGGTGAATATTTACTTTCAATAATTTTCGGAACGGCTACGGAATGGAAACGGAATGTATATTGAAAATCCACCTTAATTTGCAATCCAGCTTAAGATGATTGGTGATACCAGATTCAAAAAAACTTCTTAGGTCTTTGAAAGCTGGAGGATAGATTAGCCAATTCGCAGCATTTTTATTTTACTGTCAGAGATTTGGCAGTTTGTTGATCAAATGCAAGCTTTCATAGCTATTCCAGGGCTACAACTAAACGTATGAAGGGTTATTACTCAACTAACTGGTGTTCGGCACCTTATATCCCAGAATCTGGAGATCAAGCAAACGGCGCGCGCAACACAATCTCAGAAGCAAAGTGACACGAAATATCTGACTTTATAAACGAGGGTCAATGAGTGACCTTGAAGAAGATACGTTCCACGAGAAACCAAGTAACGGAGAAAAATCACCGAGTTTTTTTCCAACACAATACTGAACCACTGAGAAAGAGATATAACACGTGTGAAATTATCCAATCAATGACTTTCTTTTCGTAAATTTCATACCTCATTATAGCAACTCTAATGTAAATATGAAATTATATCTAATAATTTCTACCATTGTGATGAAAAAGTGATAGAAAGACTACTCAAAACAAAATAGAGTTTTTGATTAAAGGGCGAGGTATCAACAAAAACCAAAATGATTTGTATGTTATTTATTCAACTCACTCCAAACAGATGACATTCTGCATTAACGTGTGGTTGTAATTTATTTACAATATTGGATTGTCCGCATTTGTCAACATATATTCAACACAATACTTATATAGGCTACAACTATTGTGACAATCATTAGGAAGGAATATGTTACATTGCCAGAAACATAAACATCCTAAAGGACCAATGCTTATTTAACTACCTCGCCGCATATGAAACTACTCGCTACAGCTATTGATTTAAATGTCAGTGCAAGTTAGTAACAGCACTCGACCAGAATAGTGGCATCGTAGTAATAGTCAGGAAGCATTCCTTCGGGATAAGTTTATTAGTTACATAAATCATTACTTGTTTATATGTATCCGAGTTTCGTTATTAAAATTAACCTGCACTTTGCTGCTATCATCATCAACGGATACATCTAAGTCATCATCATTGTAGTTTCTGACTGACCTCTTGAATGATTTATTATAAGCCATCTTGAAGTACTTGTCATCCCTCCCTAACCTGTACACAATATATATCGGATGACTTATTGCTATAATTGACAAAAATGGTTCTAGGAGGGCCATGAAAAAGTAAAAGATGAGACTACCACCCGTCAATGCACTAAAAGCATGGAATATCAACAGTGGAAGAAAACTAAATATCGTAATATTTGAAACAGTTAGTGCATACTGTGTTTTCTTTGATGAAGCCGCTAATGATATCCTCCTCTTAAGAACGTTAAGTACTATCAGTGTCACAGCATATATCAGGTAAACTATAGTAAAGAACAGCGGACGTATTAAAATAATATGTTCAAGTCTATCGTAACAGAATGCAACCGCCCATTCTAACCCAAAAACTGAGTATGTTCCTAATAAGACATACTTAAAATACTTATTGTAGGTGCTTTCCAGGTGAGGCTTCCAAGCAAAGACAAACCAATCTAATCCGAGCATAAAAGCTAATGTTATGTACAAAGTCACAGCTGTGATGATAGTTTGAAGCAAATGTATACCGCTTGAGTTCAAAGAAAACATAAAATGAAAAAGTATATAAATCAACGGCACTAAATAAAGAGATAAGTAAAGGAAAAACATATTCAAGATATAATGGTTTGTCCTGATCTTCAACCTTTTGAATCGCAAAAGTACTACTATTAAGAAGATGACTGCCCCTATAACGAAAAGAGAGAGGATCAGTCTGATGATGACGCTGATTTCTATATAGTAGCGCAGGTAGTACCACATATCTTCTGTGATGGCGTAGTCTTCACCAAATGGATCATCGTCGAAGGTTATGTTATGGAGCTCCTCCTCGGTCGTCATCTCGTTAACGCTCATCTGTAATAAGTATACTTAATAAAGATTGCAGTTGGGCAAATGGGCCATTAATATTAATAATATATATCCTAATTTATGTAATTTACTTCAAGAAGCAGTTATCAATAAAACAGATTGCTCTATTCTTTATGTGTCTTTGTTAAAATGAAATAAAATGAGACATATATTTGTGCGGTAACTTATTTTCTAAACTAAAAATACCTCAGTTATTTGTAGGATTTTACGTTTTTCGGATGCAAGACTTATTTAATTGAAATACTCCGTGGTACTTTGTTGATTGATACATGCTATGAAAATTATTCCTGTCACGGCCACGGCTCATTTTCTAATTGTTTAGCAGATACGTATACTTCTTGTAATTTGAATTTGAGGTCCTGTTATAAAGTTGGCGACGTTTCGGAAAAATGTATTTTTTTTCTTCAGGGTTCTACCAAAAAAAATGTTTTATACACTTCCTTTATATAAAAATTAATTAGCAATTCAAATAATAAGTAAAAGATACTAAATTTGATTAAGACGTTATATAAAATACAGACAAACAAGATTAAAAACAAAACAAAGATAAAATCTGATCATATTAGATGAAAATACCCCTGGTTTGCGAAATAATTGTAAAGTAAATGGGTACAGCAATTTTTGTGGTAAAACTTTTTATTCGACAACAAAGAATGAGACAACGTGTTTTTTTTTTTAATTCAATCGAAAGTTTTGGCAGGAACGAAAAAACTCTTCATACAAGATTCTTAGGTATTTATAAGACCTACAAAATGAGACCTTACGTAGAAAGATCCGACTAATAGCAAAAAAGTATTTGGCACTTCTTGGTAATGCGACGATGGTTTTTCGCAGATATTTGAAATTCTGCAAATTCGTAGGATTCGTACTTCTAAATAACCACAACAAAATTGGAGTAGATTGGTCAAGTAGTTTTTGAGAATCTCTATTTGTTTATCCCAAAAGACCTGTTTTCCGGTCATCACTACTAGTTTATTGAGCAATATAACATATAGGGTTAGTTCAAAGGGTATTTTATAGAAAAATACACTAGTTGACCTTGCCGATATGAATCGCAAACCATTCCGGAAGATAAATGTTATTTTTATGCAAAAAAGGATGGGTCACGTTTTTTCTTCTAAACAAATACAAACATTTCATATTTGTGAGTAATTCGCAACAAAAGATGATAGACACATCCGCTTTGTTTTAAAACGTGTAAAGTAACGTATGTTTTTCGAACATCGTAGCGCATTTGTTCAATTACTCACAAATACGGAATGTTTGAATTTGTTTAGAAGAAAAAACGTAACCTTTGTTTTTCGCATAAAAATAACATTTATCTTTCGAAATGATTTGTGATTCATATCGGCAAGGTAAACACATGTATTTCGCTAACAAATGCTCTTCGAACGAACCCTGTATATGTCAATAAACTAGTAGTGATGACCGGAAACCAGATGTTTTGGGATAAACAATTAGAAATTCTCAAAAACCTACTTGACCAATACACTCCAATTTTGTTGTTATTTAGAAGTATTAATCCTAAGGATTTGACGAATATCAAGTAGTTTTTCATCAATAACATTTTTGCTTTAGTCGGATCATTCCACGTGTGGTCTCATTTTATAGGTTTCATAAATACCAAAAAATCTTATATGAAAATGTTTGTTCCGGTCAACACTTTCGATTGAATCCCAAAAAACACGTTTTCTCATTCTTTGTTGTCAAATAAAAAGTTTTCCCCCAAAAATTGGTGTACCCATTTTATGCATCCATGTTTCAAATACCCCCTTGAATAACTTGCACCAATAACACCAGACTGCAATTATTTCGGTAAAATTTGTTAATATGATTAGACTAATAGATAAAAGTATTTTCGTGTTCGATGATCAGAAAAAAATGTAGCGAACTCACCCTCTCACTTCGAAACTGAGGTGGTCAAAAAGTAATGCAACGTTATGCAAATCACAGATATCATTTAGACGGTAACTGAAAAATATAACAAACGAAAGACTGCTAGAAACAGATTGGTAAAAAGGAGAAAGATATTCCCAAATAGCAAAAATCTCAGCTATTTTTTGTTACATTTGATGTTTTGCCTTTTTGTTGATGAATAGTACGTTGTGTAACTTATTTTGTCTTCATGAAATTAATGATGTTATAGTACATGATATTTATATCTGCTATGTATGTTCTTTTGTTTACTGCATTATTGTGCTTTTTGATTTCCAAGGTGTGATACCTCGTCTTTCGTTTGGTATATTTATCAGTTGCAGTCTTAATGATACCTACGATAAGCGTTACGTTGGATTATTTTTTGACCACCACAAATTCGAAGTAAAATGGTGCGTTCCACATAGTTTCTTTTTTCTGATAATCGAACACGGAAAAAACTTTACTCGTTTTTTGAATATCTATATAATCATTTGATCTTTGTTTCATTTTTAATAGTTTTGTGTATATGTTTGAAATTGCTGTCTTGTTCATATATATCGGAGATGAGTTTATATAGCTCATTTTACCCAAAATAAGTATCTTTTACTTCGATTTTATTATTTAAATTGTTAATTAATGTCCATATAAAGTTTAGTGTTTTGGACATTTTGTTGTAGTCCTGAAGAAGGAAATAATGTTTTCCAAAACGTCGGAAGCTTAAACTGTGATTCTTTAGACTTCAAATTATAATTTGAAACTCATATGGAAAGGGTCATTATAAGAATAATTTTCTATATTAAAATAAGTAGAGTTAATTGTTTAACTTTGGCAATACTAGCTTTCGATTTAAGTATGGTAACACTATTCTGTATCAAACAGGATGCAATGTGCCATGTTTCCAGATTCATGGAGTCCATGGGTACAATTTTGGAGTTTTACATTTAATACTACTGTTCATACAGGAACAAAGTACACGCCTTATGAACTAGTTTTTGGTAAGGTTTGCAATTTGCCTTCAAATATAAAACGACAGGTTGATCCTTTATATAACCTTGATAGCTATCCATTAGAACTTAAATTTCGTTTGCAGCAGGCTCAGGCTGACGCAAAGGCTAATTTACTAATTTCAGAAAATAAAAGGAAAGAAACTTACGACTTAAAAATCAATACAATTAGCTATAAACCAGGGGATAACGTTTTAATAAAAAAATAAGGGCGGTACAAAGATGGAAGCGTTGTTTAACGGTGCATATGTGGTTATCGACCATAAAGCTCCGAATATTTTAGTAAAAATAGGAAATAAAAATAAGTTAATACACAAGAATAGAGTAAACCAAATTTTGTAAAGTAATTTTAGTACCTGTATATTAAACCTTTTTTTCAGTTTTTTTTTCTCTTTTGAGATGTAGTATATATACATGTATGTATAATTGGAGTATTAATATATAATCATATTGTATATTATAATGTATTTAGAATTAGCAAATTGTGTAAGTAGGTTTGTGAGATTGTTTAGGAATATAACTATATTATTATGTGTACTTTTATAAACGGTGGTAGTCATAAACAATTCTGGAATGCAAGTGTATCATTTTTGGGTTGGAAAATATAATTACTTTTTAGCTGGTCTTAAAGTAAGACCTATTATTTCAACTACCCCTAAATCCTCATATATTACAGTTTACCACCATAGTGTTTATGTGAACACGGTTTGTTTGTGCATTTTTTGCATTTGGTTGAGCATATTACGTCAAATCGTAGCTACAATATTTTTGATAATTGTTTTCATTTGCTTTTACTTGTAACATGTAAACACACATGTAGTCAGTGATATCATGGCCGTTCTTCATGGTAGTTAGTGACATACTTTCACTGTTTGAGCTCGGTTTGATATTTTTTCCAAAGAACCCAACCTATCATCGAAAAACGTATTACATGTGATTATAAAAAACTACAACCACATTTCTATCTACTGTTCCGAGCAACTGGAATGGTGAAGATTTTTTGTAGCCTAAACGTTTAACTTTACAGTTTGCTAATTGAGCAGCTCCCTTAATGTCCAGATGATGAGTTTCACTTATTGACCAGATGAAGGTCGATAGACAGAGAGATAACATGATAAACAAAGCTTGAGAAGTTACCTAGCTATTTCGAGATGCTTGAGTATTTTGAAATGTTCAGAGAAATTGATGCACGTATATTAATAATAGTAAGTGTCTTTTCGAATCAATTATATCGAATAAGGAAGGTACCCTAGAGACCACTAAAGTATTCGTCAAAGGCTACGTGCCATTCAAAATACGAGTACGTGGATTCTGCGGCTCTTAAATTTCCATACATTGTGAAAAAATTAGTTATCGAAAACCAAATGGTCTACGTTTATCATAGAAGTTTCGCATAAAGTATTGTTTTTCTCCATGGGGCCCGTTTTTGGGTATACGAGGGAACTTAAGTGCGTAAGTATTAATTCCTTCTTTCTACAAACGAAAACATTTGAGAAATCGAACATAAATGAAGATGTACCTTCAACGGACAAATGCTTCCTTATTCAGAGAAGTTCTCTACATTTTATATGTAATAGTTGGTTCTACAGGAAAAGTTTCCATCCAAAAGTAAAAGAAAACTTAGCCGTGTAAAAATGCAGACGCTGTCGCGAAGGAGAACAATATAGATGTTGTTTTCTAGTGGTTTTCCTGGGAGTTGTTTCCTCGTCTTTCGACGCAAACAAGTAGAATGGAGGAAAAATTGAAGTCTTTTTTATTTTCCACGCCCATTGGCAATCGAGAAAAATTACGTTACATGATATATACACCATAAAAAACCACGTCACTCATTTTTATTAGTCTGTCTGTCCGCCAATCATTGACCCCTCCATAACCCTTTACAAAGTATGGTTTACAATTTTTGTTAAATTTTGAGGTTACTGCTATATGCCAGGGACAAAAAACGTTTGTACATTTTGAAGAACGACCTAGAGAATTAAAACTCGCTCAAACCTCGTTTTTGGACGTCGCTGCTCATTTTCAGGACATTTATTGTAAGTGTTGAAAATTGAGGGTGTGGGCTTGCAAGGGCTGTAGTTATACACACCTACTAGACATATATTTTCCTGTACATTTTCCCTTAAGACTAGGACTGCTACGATGGAATAATTTAGATGCCCGCGTCGAGCGAAATAAAAATAGGGAACAAACCTGTACCAGTAGCGAAGTAGCCGCTGCCACTGACGGCTTATTCACAGCAATTTTGATCGCAACCATTGCCATTGCCAAACAAATGGGTGGGGACTAGAAACAAATTGTATGGGCCTATTCGACTCATTTGATGTATATAATTCGTTTGATATACATATTCGTCGCTAGCTTTTCTCTAGCCTTGTGCTGGACAAAGTATCTTGAGAAGTGATGACAGCGTTGCATAGAAAGTGCAAAGTCAATCTACTTAACGCCTCATTTGCACTGTTCGCAAGAAATATTGATTCTTTTAGCTAACTTTTAGAAACCCGTTAGGATCTCTTGTGACAGGTTGTATGAGACTTATGCGCTGCGGTATAATGATAAGTGTTTGGTTCTTAGTGGTGGCAGATATCTTACGAAATTTAACAAAACAGCATGAAAAAGCATGTCATGACTTCGGGAACTTGGTACTTTAAGGCAACGGCGAATGGTATCGTAGGATCACGGTGCTAATGTTTGAATGTGCGTGAGAGGACGTTTTTCCGAATTATACAAAAATCGAATCATCAATACATGTAACTATTTTTTGTAGTGGTGGCGGTACCTTAGCCTTTAGGGATCTACGTTAGCGGTTGCATCAGGATTCGGAGTTTGATGAGATTGAGAGATTAATGGTGAATTCGAAAAGTTTCGCCTTATTTAGCCTGCTTGCAATAATAGCTGCTAATAAAAATTAATACAAGAAATTAACGTATTCACCATTGTGTTGTTTTAAATGGACACATACATACATGCCCATCTAAGTATTAAAGGAGGACACTAGCATATTAAATCGTGGATTAATGCATAGTCAATGGTTAAACGGTTAGTCCCGATCGGTGCGCTAATCCAGGACCTCAAGGAAATTGATAGAAAAACTAAAGACATATATAGAGTCCATTACTTCCCCTTCTTAAGGGCCTCTTTTGGTATATAATAATAATGCCCTAATTTATCCTGGCGAAATATCTGTTACCTTATTTCAAGCCAGGCCGACAATATAGTTACACCAACAGATACAAATTTCAACAGTTTATAGTCTTAATATGAAGACGATCTTAAATACCGTAACACACAGCAATATAGGAAGACAAAACTGTACAAAACAAAAAAGGAACAGTTTCATAATGGAAGGTACTACCACAGCAAGCAATCTAAAGAGCAAAATCTAATATTTGAATTTGAGAATTACTAACACATAGAAGATGGAAGAGTAAGAGAAAAAATGAAAGAAATCAAAAAATTCACATGTGAACATTAGTATTACAGCCGTCAAATAAAAGTTATTTTAGTTTTTTTTTTAATGAAATTACGATAAACTTTTATGTGTAACTAATTCGAATTGGCACTATAATCAGTTTATCGAATAGTAGATGCTAAACCCCAACGTATTGAAGCATACTTCAGGTAATCGAACTCCAGATACTCTCCCCAATTCTTGAAATACTCGTATAAAAACATGCTGATCACGCAGTGAACACGCGCTGGTTATTATTTTGGTCTGATGTCCTTCTTCCATAAAAAAAACTTTAGCTATAGGTGTATAAGTAAGTGCCAGAAGTAGCAGTGACTATATTGAATATATATACATATATCCCAATATCATCCATATTGAATAAAAAATGTGCATCATATAATTAGATAACTGTGAATGCAACATGATCACGTACAGAGGTCAAAGAGCAATTGTAATTCATAATAATAAAATATATAACTGCACTTTATTGGTGCGATATGTTATTTGCTGAACTCATTATGTGAATGGTTTCTTAATACGCAACAATCATTTCAGTACTCGCCAGCTAAGGTGGCAATGCCTTTTAGCAATGTCAGATGAGAAATTGTATGTATATCCACAGTAGTTTCACAGCTCACGGACCGCTGTCTGTGACATTAGGCTTTCCATCAAGCTTTATTATAATTGTTATCTCTATTGACAGTTACCGAACTGATAGTCGGCACCAGGTCATGACCTATTGTCTTTTTCACGAGTATTCATTGTAAAGTAGCATCTAGTAATATTTCAAAATTTCCCGTATCGACAACTGACACAATGCTGATGGATCAACGCCAGGTAGACAGAGCCGTTCTTTTTTTTGTTTTTTGTACGCTACAGATTCATTTTGTACTGGCTAACAACTCTCTTGTTTATAAAAACTAATTTGCGTACAAAAAAACGCTACAAGTTTCACTAGATTTACAGCTGATTGATTATTGCCAACGTTACAGACTAATACAAAGGTTCACCTCAATAGACGTCAAAACATGAAATAGGTTCAAATCTCATTTTTAACTTGTAGGTTAACTGCAACTTGTCTGCTAACCAGAATGCAACTTTCAAGTCGCGTTTTTCATTCACTAAAGGTTCGTATCATACGAGTTATCATAGATAACACAATACACAAACTCCGGACATCACGAAATGCATAAAAGTAGCATTGCACCGTCAACGGTGTATGAATTATTATTAACCAGAATTTTACCGAAGTTAGCGCGTTTTTTAATGTCATGTCTTTTTTAAAACGATAGCACTTTTAACAAAAGTATCATCTGTAGGTCGACTAGAAAGCCGTAGTTAGTCCGTAACGGGGAGCCTTTTTGGCTTGACAGTGACACGAGCTGTCGCGGATAACACAGGTCACCGAGACCGAGCGTCACAGAACACACATAACACTATAGTTCAAGCTCAGAACAAGAGCAAACCAGCAATGGCTTTCTATGCATATATGCTCAAATAGACACAGATGAACTGGACATATTTACTTTCGGTCTCTTTAACCATGACAAACTGCAGACACCGCTGTTTCGTGCTCGTTAGCAACTCATCAGCGCGGTATATGCCATATGCTTAAAGGTAAATTTAAAGGTCTTGCTTCTAAAGCTACAAATCGTTTTGCTGGGTAACTAAGAGTTGTAGAGGATGAAAAGGCCCTAAAAGTGAAAATGACCAATTTAGTGACAATTATAAACTTTCAGAATATCTTTGATGGCATTTTCACCACTAAGGATAAAGGTTTTTTATTTTTTCCAAACTTTCTGGTAGAAATATCTAAAAATTCGCTTTTTTTAAGAAATATTAACCCCTACAGCAGATTGAACTCTATAACTTCCCTTTAAAGCATGTTTACCAACTTTTCGCAGCATAACTCTAACTTTTGTATGAGTGTTTAGAAAAAAAATTGTTTTATACAGAAATTATAGGATCTGATATAAAATTTTTCATGCAATGTCTTTTTTGTATACAAGCTATAGAATCGTCTAAAAAAGTACATTATTCGATAGGACTTTTCTGAGAGATCCTTCAGCCAAAAACGTAGCATGAAACACTTTAATATTAAATCCTATTATTTATGTATATGGAATTTTTGCCTAAACCATCATGCAAACAAGTTACAGAGAGATCAATTTATAGAGGAACACCTTGTTTAAAGCGCTTGGCAGAAGCTATGGCTAGTGAGAATTGTCTGGCAGTGCTTAATACGTAATCTAATAATAGTGTTTTACAAGGTAAATATAAAGTAAGAATTTTACTTTCTCGTTTCTCACCTGGTACCAGTAAATCGGCTGTCATCCAGCAGATACACAAGCGTTGAAACAGACTTTGTGAAGTAATATTCTTATAATAATAATAATATTAATAATAATAAAAATAATAATAATATGTGTTTATTTGTGACAGACATATTTACGTATGTACATTTGGAAAATAAAATCAATACTAAATAACACATAAGTAATCACTGAAGCTGCATTCGCAGCTTTTGTGTGATTTCTTATTTTATTTTATATTAAGCATTTTTTGTCCAAATCGGGATAATTGTCCAAATCAGTGGTTAGTCTATATGGGGTTAATTGTCTACAGTAATAATAATACTTTATAGAATACATACTAGGAGCTTAACCAGGGTCTATTCTCACTACACTGCACTATACGATTTATAAAATATTATTCGTTAAGCTGTTGAAAAAGGTTCCTGCATTATCCACCATCCATTCCTTTATTTGAGTTTTAAATCTCAATACTGGTGTTATATTATTTCTGAAATTCAGATATAGCATACTGTTTAGTTTTGGTGCAAGATAAAGAAAGTGTCATTGTCCTACAGATTTATTTCATCAAGGGATCCCACAACAATGTACTTTGTGACAGTAGATTATTCGTCTGATTGTTTCATAGTGATGTATAGCTAGGTATGATTAAAAAACAACATAATTAATTTTTCGTCAAAATGCGTGTTTATGTATTCTATCTACAATCACAGCTTGTTAACAAATAATAGTATAGTTTTGGAACTGTATGAGTATATTTCACATTTATAGTAGATTTAAGTAATTACTTTTATTCTCAACATTTTGCAGCAAACTGTGTTTTAAAAAAAACAAATTTTTTGAATAGTAAAACTCAGGAGGTTGAAATAATTACTTATTCAAATCAACTATAAATAATGGGGAATACTTTCATACAGCTGCACTATTATTATTTGTAAACAAGTTGTGATTGTAGAAATAATGCATGAGAATGAACAAAAATGAAATCTTTGACAGAACAATGATAATATTACGTAAAGAAGGATTTGAACATTTATATGAATTGTTATATTTATATTGATTTTTGTTTATATTGTTATAAATTTCATTTATATTATATATCTCATCTATATATTTTTTCTACATGTACCTAAGTGGTTCATAATAATAATAAAGAATAATCTCTATACACACCATGAGACCATCAGACTGTTGAAAAAAGGGATTTGCGATCATAACGCCTCACGCTTTGTCTTTCAGAAAAATAGGTAGTGTTTGGCAGCCCTGCGATCTTATACTCTATATTTAGCGTAACACAACCGAGCAAATTGAAGGATTACAGTTACAGTTAACGACATAATCAAAATCCTCTAGCTGGACCCAACGAAGTTGGGAAACAATTACAACAACGAGGAGTAAATAAGTTTAAAACTTGGAATATGCTTAAGTGTCTTCAATTATTTTATTGTGAAAATCACTTTTCAGTAACGATTTAGACTCTCTTTCACTATAAGGCTGTGAATTATTAACGTGAAGGTTTTTCTAAAAAGTATTCCTTCACTTGATTGGTGATAGTGAATGATATGGGTGGATGAGGAAATGGCAATCACCAGCATCGCCTTTATTTCATATGAGCGAATATTAACGAAAGTTTTTTATAAAGGTGAATGAAGATTAATACAAAAAGTAATCATATTTAAAAAGTGCTGTACCAAGCAGGGACATACCATTTTGTTCTATTAGTTGTTGCGTAGTTTATGATAAAAAACCTGATGAAGCACCTCAAGCAATTATCTCAATTTAAAGCGAGTACCTAGTGTTATGGTTAGGCTTATGGAAGTGAGTGTTTGATAAGAAATCTTACTTCTGAAAGTTTGCTCATAATACGCCTTCGAATGAGACTGCAGTATGTATCAAAATAATGCTTAACGCTCAGCGCTAGGTTATGCACTAACAATCTATGTAATGATTTTTTGTTACGATGCGAATGGGATATTTCCTGATTGCAAGTGGTAATCATATGAGTAAATTGTGCCTACCTTACTCAAATGTTGACACTAAACTCATTGAACTTGTCCGGCACTGTCACTAAACACCAGGTCCTACAGGCATTAACATTTCAAATAAACTAAAGTTATTTTGATAATGTAATATCATCATATGTGTTTACTACTTTTTTAACATATTAGAATATTTTCCATGACTAGCGTTTGGTCTTGTGTACCCATTCTACTTTGTGTTATAGAGTTATACCGCTACAAATCCCTTACGTTGAAATAGAACAATGCCCAGCATCACACCATCATAGGAATCATCTGAACCTGCATAGATTTCTTCAGTGCAAGATAGACTTTTAACGATACACACGTTATTTCATTATACAATTCGAGTATCGTGTCCTTATATTATAAAACTCCAATTTAAAATTTTTCAAAAAGTGAAATTTTTAAAGTCGAAATTTAAGTATAGAGAGATATACAGGGTGTTCCGTAATGACATTTGGAGTGTGATTTCTGAGATAATTTAATGAAGAAGGGTTTATATGAAATTATTTCCGCAATGCCTTCATTTTTTTAATACAGGATGCAGAGGAGAAAATAGTCAATTGGTTTTTTTTGCGTAGAAATTCAACTAATACCACAATAACTAAAAAAAATACTCGTTCTAAAAATATTTATATATTCAGACGTGTTTGAACAGAATAACTTTTCATACCAAACTAAGTCATTTTATCATATCATTTAACTTCTTCATAAAATTGTTTGAGGTATCATATTGGCACATCATTAAGAAGTATTTTCGTGACAGTAAGTTTCTTTCTGTATTATTATGCTGTGATCATTGAGAGGGGGTTACCCATGTGTTTTTGCTTGATCAGCAATATTTTCATTATACGACGCGGTGTACGACGAATACCCATACAGGGTGTTTCACGACTTATCCGACAAATTTTAACCACATATGCACTGTTACGATAGAAGTTGATTTCTCAAAAATAAAATGTAAGAAGTGTCCTACAGAAATTAAGTTATACACCTGAGTTACAATAATAAATTGAAAAATAAATATCTGTATTTTGCATTCATCGTCGTTATAATAGAACACGCATCAATAATTTATTGTAGCAAATGTTGTAACAAGCAATTGACGAAAAAAAAATACCAGGAATTTTTTGTTTTTTCATAATGAATGAAGAATGAAGAAAGGTAGATTTTTGTGTAGTTAAATAAGAAAGTATTGTGCGAGTTTATATATTTAGTTATTTATTAATAAAATTGGCACATGTGTGCACTAATGAGGAGTTAGACATGTGCTATGTGTTTGATAGTTAGACTTTTATTGCATTTTTTTTTTGAGAAATCAGCTTCTTTCGTAACAATTTGTCGGATAAGTTGTGAAACACCCTGTATTATGACATCTCTACTAAAAACTAGAGTGTAGTACACATATGTGAACAAATACCGATATCTGACAGGAACCTTGATGAACTTCACTAAGCATTACGCTAGTACGGGGTACTATAATAGTAAGCGAATAGAGGGTTTCAGGCGAAAACCAATTTTCAGAAAGGCTTACAATTTTGTGGGATTGAAGGAGTGTCTCTCTTGATAAGTTATATAAAATCTTTCTCGTATCTAAAGAAAAGACCTCTCCTGCTTGAAAATCAGTGTCTAACTCCTTCTGTGACGTAGGATTGCATTTACTAACTCTTAAAAGAAAATTTTGCTTTTACTTACATCAGACACCGGTATTCAGAATATCTCACGCGCACAAAATCCAGTCTATAATTGGAACAGCATCAACGCAATTTCACAACCAGTCACATATAGAACACTAGCAGCTCCAGATATATTTTATATAAATATAGGCTAATAACATCACTGGCGGAACAAATAAAGTCTATATATTTGGATGTAACGACGATATGTTTCACACCATAATGCGAACGATACTAAAAACAATAGCTGGGTCAGATCAGGAAGTAAGAGGACTGTTCAAAAGAATAATTGCGCCTAATGGCATGTAATAGCAGGGAATTTGTATGTATTAAGAATTTTCATCATACTTGAAATTCTGCGTAGCAATTCTTGCGAAGATGAAACATCGTTTCTTTTGAATTTGTGGATGTAATAGTTACGATGTTTTTGAATCATTAAGACTTTACGAATTTTGACAAATAATCCACGATGCAAAAAACTTATAATGGTGCTAACAAAGCGAAAGCTCTACTGACTGAAAGCACAATAGAGTCAATACCAACTAAGTAAGTTTTGTTGAAATTCATAATTGGACCTTGTGGACCTGCATACCAGTGATGTTGGTATGTAAAACAGCATTATGGGATCAGTATGTCGTTTGATCGAGGATAAAAACGAAACTTGCAACATATTATTCAAATATATAGAAGCAAAAGCTGCAACAAAAATGTACAAATCGTGATGGTCCAAGTTCCATCCGCTGGTGGGTCCCATATATACGCAAGAAAACCATTTTGGTTATTTTCGGATTTACCGTCTATCTTTGATTGAACGGATTTCTCAACTTTTAGATACTCTCATAGCTGGAGATCGAATTTCAGTAAGTCGACTGTCACACGATCAGTATTTACTGTCCCTGCCGTGTCATCAGCATTAACCAACGAATTCAGACAGGGTAGAAAGTGCATCTTCATGATTTATTTGTCTCCAAAATCAGGACGAAAGTTCATGCTGAAAGACGATCAGGCTCAAGTCGCGAGTTTGATTTCACATGAAATTCGTATTTCTCCACGAAAATATAGAAGTGCATGTGTTCCACACAGTTCTAGTGTTCCAGACAATTATCAAAAGTGGTTTCTGTAGAATGGGAAAAGCTGCATAAACTGACTAATCGATCGATAAGTGTTAATATACAGGGTGGCGCATCGCAAACGAAACAGACGCATTTACTGGCAGCTCAGTTTTTTTTTTGGAAAAACACTCAGACCCGTCGATTTTGTTTTCGAGGGGGACACAAGTTTGGCAAAAAATCACGTTAAAACGTGCGGCCCCCTAAGCGGGGGTGACACCACCCCCAAAATCTTAAATGGAAAGGGGGGGTCGGGTGATACCTTATTTTAAAGGTCTTTCAATTCCCTTTATAATGATATAAAATTAGTTTACTTCAGTTCAGTAGTTTTGAAGATTTATTGATTTAAAGCTTAAATAAAACTAATACATCATCATTAGTGGAGATTAATACATTTGGCAGCAAAGTAATTTAAAAATGAAGAATGAACTGACCCGTTAGGCAAGTAAATATTGAAAATGGCCACCATGACTCTCCATGCAATAATAAAGATTTTGCTCAAAACGTTGCCGCACATTTTGCAATATTTGAGGAGTAATTTGAAGGCACTCATTCACCATTTTTTGTCGCAGGTCAACTAATGATGTTGGATAAGTAGCATAGATTTTGCTTTTTAAATGACCCCACATAAAGAAATCGAAAGGTGATAAATCTGGCGATCTTGGGGGCCATTCAATGGTACCTCTTCTACCAATCCATCGATCTGGAAAGGTCTGATCTATAATATTGTCGAACACGTAATGCGTAATGTGGTAGGGCACCATCCTGTTGGAACATCAACCTATTCGCAATGTGGCGCCGATCATTCTGATTGTCAATTATGGCTGTTAATGCAGGATCTATGGTGTCTTCCAGTAATTCCAAATACATTTCACCGGTCAAATGTCCAGGTAAGAAAAAAGGACCAACTAAATGATCGCCAAAAATACCAGCCCAAACATTTAATTTTTGTGGCTGCTGTGTATGAACCTCATGATAAATTCTGGGATTAGAATCGGGGATTTTATACGGATGAAAACTATGGGCCTTTAGAATCCGTTGGACAGTACGTCGACTAACACCACACACAGTCGCCAATTTTCGGGTACTTAACGTAGGATCTACATAACTTGCCCTAAAACCCCCACTTCTATTACTTCGTTCCTTATGGGATTTTCAATGTTGCTTTTGTAATTGGCGACTGACCCAGTTTCCCGAAATTTAGCTACAAGTTCTAGAACATATTTTCGATGCACATTATTGTTCTCATGTCGCTCATTAAATATTTCTGCTGTGCAATATACCGTGGTCAGTTTATGTAATAAAGCGTTAGAAGTTATTTTAGCAACAAAGTTTGGTCAAATCAATCGCAAACTATGTACTAAATTCCTATTTAAAATAAGTACGAGATATTTCCTTATCTTTCTTGCCACAAAAAAACGCTCCAATAGCTATGTTCAATAACAAAACGTTAAACAAACCATGGGCGTAGTGAAGAAAAGCATTTACTTATTAAGTAAGATATTTTAGTCAAATTTCTTCTGAAAGTAGTACAAACTAATCTGATGTACCTACTAAAGTCTACTTTAAGCTTTAAATCGATAAATCTTCAAAACTACTGAACTGAAGCTCATGTATTTTACATCATTATAAAGGGAATTGAAAGACCTTTAAAATAAAGTATCACTCGACCCCCCTTTCCATTTAAGATTTTAGGGTTGGTGTCACCCCCGCCCAGGGGGCTGCACGTGTTAACGTGATTTTTTGCCAAGCTTGTGTCCCCCTCGAAAACAAAATTGACGGGTCTGAGCATTTTTCCAAAAAAAAAAACTGAGCTGCCAGTAAATGCGTCTGTTTCGTTTTCGATGCGCCACCCTGTATGATAGTCATCGGCGTTGCGATAGAGCATGTACCTCACCGTTGGGCTATTACCTGGACAGTTTTGGGCTAATTTTGATTTAGTCCAGTCCATTTCTCGTGTCTTTGAGTGCCCAGTCCAAACCTAAGATTTGTTAACAGAATTTTAAGTCTAACATCGACATTAAAAAATGAAAAGTCTTGGAGACAAACCAAATTTTCTGATGGATGCAGAAAAGGTACAACTGAAACTATAGCTTTAAGATTCACCTACTGCAACTTTCAATCTAAAAGTTCTTGAGAAAGGTCCTTATGTCCACATTATAAGTAATAAGTTTACATTCACATTTCATTCGTGCGAGATTCTAGTGAGGAAGCTCAGTAAGATCCCAAATATTTTTGAATATAGTGACAATATTTGCATAGCATAGCAATAATTTCCGTATTATGCTCAGGAAGGTATAGTGAGTGACAAAATATGTTAAACCCTACGTATGTTTATTAGAATTTAAGAACTTTTTACATATCGATTTATCTTGCCATGAACAACAAGTGATAAAACGGTCAGGTTTTCTGTTAAGTTTTTGTGGTGGACCACAGAGCGACAAGACCACTGGTTAAGGCTTCTGGCTCTGAGAGACAGATTCAGTAGAACTCGAGTCATCGCTAATTGTGGTTTGAAGAGCATGGAAGGATGGTTGGTATGCGTACGGTATATCGCCGAATACGACAGTTTGGCCTTTTTTCTTATCGCCCACATTGAAAAGAAAGACGTGAACCACAATTTGACAGAGAACGTCACGTTCACCACACCGTGGAAGTAGTGGAGCCTCATCTTATTCTATACCTAAACACCATCTAAAACCCGATTTTTCAGCAAGATAATGCCAGACCGCATGTTGCCAGAGCACGTTAGCCTTCATGGATCAACATCGCATCAACCGTTCACCTTGACCACCACGATCGCCTGTCCTATTTCCAATTGAATACGTCTGGAACATGATATGTCGCAGGCTCTTGAATTTGTAACACCCTCTACAGACTTTAGCAGCTCTTACTGATAAAGTTGCAGTAGCCTGGAATGAGATACTCCGACAGGATATCGACCACCTTATCAGCACGATGACCAGGCGTGTCAATGAGGGTATAAGAAATCGTGGATCCTCAACACATTATTGAACCACCTTCTTCAGTATATCTGCTTTTAGCCAACAATCTGCTTGGATCACAACAATCTAGAAAATCTAAGTAGAATTCAAGCAAGGTGGCCCACTATTTCCATTCTACCATTGCTGGTATTTTATGAAGACATTTTTTCCGTATTTAGCACCTTCCAAAATCAGGAATTAAGTAGAATTGTTCATGTGCTCCGTTGATAAGTATTTACTTTAGTTTCTTTCCTTATTTGATTTACAATTATTAACAATATTTGACCTATTCCCATCGCAATACAGATAGTATTTCAGCACTGTTAAATGTACTTATGCATAGTATGATTGGCAACGTGAGTACCTCTCCAGAAATAAAAATGTATGCCGATGTATTGGCTTGTCACTTTGGTTGGCCAATTCTGCCGACAAACAATGCAATTAAATATAAATGGGTCCTGCTAACCTATTCGAATTCGTTGGTACTTATTGATGATTCTATCAGTATCACTGGATTTCTACATAGCCATACATCAATCACTACTGACCCCCATTCTATACGGTCGACGAATATCACAATACTGACGGATCACAGTAAATACTAATCAGGTGACATTCGCCTTAGTATCATTTCCTATATCAATGAGCAGTGGTTGACTTTGAGAGCCTAAACGTTATTTCTTGATATCACGTATGTTCATATGAACAGTTGCTCTTTCACTTGTGGTAGTCGATTTGGTTCATCGTCCATATTATCCAAAGTAGAATAATATAACATAGAATAATGTTGATTAAAGCAGTCTATTTGCATTCTCGTATCTACCCGATGACAGCCTTTTGGAATTTATAATTTAGAACAAACCTGAAAGCTTAGTTAAACTGAACTAAAATCCCGTTTCATATTATCAAATCAGTTTCACAATTTCATTTATTTACGTCTGGTTACTCCAATTTCAGCTTCCTGAAAGTTACATCCCACGCCAACTGCCGAAACGTCTGGAAAGTGAGATGTTATATGACATCTACTCGTACATCATGAAAAACTATGTCACTGACTTCCGTGGGTCTGTCTGTTGATTCGTCTGTCCGCTAGTACTTGACCGTGGACAGTACATGCAAGGCTTCTGCTGCGTTTAGTACCAAAAAACCTCATAGTTTTTGAA